CGTGTGTGTGTGTGTGTGTGTGTGTGTGTGTGTGTGTGGTGTCGTGTGCGTTCATGTGTATTTTTTTTTTTATGACGTAGGCTACGCTTTTCAGACAGCGGCTTATTAATACAAGATGATAAATAATGTACGCATTTAACACTTCCCCTAACTATCTTAGGTGTTTCATCGCACCAATCGACATAACTTAGGTCATTTAGGAGGCAGGCTTCCTGAGCTTGAGACTAGGGGTTCAACGTTTCAGCTAAAAGAGATATTTGTTGATCCAAATTTTCTCCACGCCTCACGCAAGAATCGAACTGGGGTGCTCAGGGTGCGACGGCGAAGCGCGCGCCCTTTACTGTCGGTTCCGTAGTACTTCTTGTTGCGTCACCCAAGTTGTAACAATATTGAAATCCATTCCGCACACCTCAAGATGAGCTAATTTGGAAGCAAACAACTATGAAAAGTGAAACAGTTATTTGCTTTTTATAGCGATTTTAAGGCGGGGATCTCAATGAAACTTATTTTATACTTGATAGAAATGAAGCCCATGATACGCGCTTTCGATTGATGAAAAAAAATATTTCGCGCTAAAATCACGATACGCAGGACGGCGATGCGATGCTGCCAGCCCTTCTTCAGTCTAAAAACTCCGTCACTAGGCCTTTCTCAATACCACTACGTCAAAATAATTTATGGTGCAATTGAGTGGCCGAGAGAAGCAACGGGTTCGGGATAGGTGGTGGAGGGCTTGGTTGGTCGTTCACGGAGGAGTGTGAAATTTCACGAAAACGGCGGAAGCGTCTCAAGGCAAGGAGTCCCAACCACTGACCTAAAAAGATAGTTCAGTGGTCCCAACACTTTCTGTCTGTCAAGTCTACGGTAAGCGTTGAGTTGAGTTAGGCCTACCCACGCTGTCAGCAAGAACCTCCTTGGCGGTCGGCGATCTTTTGGCGGCCGGCGATCTTTTGTCGGCCTGAATCACAGCCTCTCAGGAACAGTCAGCGAAAATTAAAAAGATAATGGAGGCTTCTTGTGCTGATCAAAGATCAGCTTGCTGAGTAACATAGCCTGAAGAGTTGGCGAGAGACAATTTGGGAAAGGGGGGGTTAGCCTATAATAAAGTATAATATTAAGCGAATGGGTAGGCTTTCCTCGCTTCTTATCATTCGCCGCGTCGTGTAACACTGCTCTATTGGGTGAGTTCAGTGAACACAATCTTTCACTTCATACCAAGGACCTTACTGTAGAACCTCCTTACTTTCATGTGAGATCATTCGGAAGCACACAAGCGTTTTAATCCCTCTAACAATACAGAGATGGAATTTCTCACGAATGACAAAGGCATCACTTACTTTTGAATGGAGGAACTGAAAAAAGGGGACATGTGCTGCCATGTCAAGACCACATACATGTATTATATTTGTGTGTATGGAGGGGGGGGGGGTGTCATTCTACGGCAATGTCCCAAAACTCGGGGTTTTGTTGGGGTTTTGTTGTTGTTTTGTTGTTGATTTGTTGTTGTTTTGTTGGGTTTTATTTAAAAAATATTTTTGGTGCCAGTCCCATTGACGGTTTAATGAGATAGGCTTCTACCTTCTACCATACAAGTCCGCCTGACTGACCATGGCCGGCGCCCAGGGTAATTTTAATTTTACATTATATTAGATATCATTCCTACACTTTAATTTACTTCTTCCAACAAATTAATCTTCTCTATATCGAGGTTACCGTGTTCGCTTCTGCTGACTCTCAGGTACATGATGTGTTTTGATTAGTACAGTTTGAAATAAAATTATCGCTGGCCATCGAACTCTCAAACGTCACAGGCTTTTCCTGTCTTCCAGGGGAAGGGAGGGGGGCTTATTCTAAGTCTAAGGTAGCCAAGTTACTATCCACCCCTCTCGCATTCTCATGCAAATACATGTACTTGAAAAGAAATAGAAACAGCAAAAATATAAAAGCACATTCAATCTTGATTTTATAACGAATCAACTGGTGCGAGGGGTACAATCAAAAGAAAATCCAAATGAAACACCACTACGTATACACACATGATAATAAGTAGGCCTATCTGAGATGCGCGTGCTGCGTCTTTGCACCACAGACTGGGATCGTGCGATTGACCTGCGGCTCATTTTTCTTCCCCAGCTATTATCAAAAGAAGGACTAATTAGGGGGCAGCGATTTGAAGACAAAGAAGTTTGTGCTCAGAATACTCAAAACAAGTGCAGTGCTAAGGACTCGGCTGACCGAGACGGACGGATACACAACATGGCCAATGAGTTTGACAGCTGGCTACATCAGATGAAAAAGTGCAATGAGATCAACGATTGTTGCAATAAATAGAAAACATGTTTCTGTGATTATGAAAAAAATTCATGTCTGAAAGACTTTTGAGACAATTAATGTTGAGTTTACAGAACAGGAAGAACAATTAATAGGCCTACATGTAGGCATATCATATTATGATGCAGGCGGTGCCTTGAGTGAAAAAGATAATTTAATAATTTAATATGCGTGTGTTTGGGGGGGGGGGGGGTGCTCGGGACTTTGTTTAATAATTGTTATAGAGTAATATATTTTTATAACCTTCTTGGTTTGTTTTTTTATGGGGGGAGGGGATAAGTGATTTACGGCACTTGCAACTGCATAAGGTCATATAAATTCGTAGGACACAGCATGGTAGGAATTGATTTTGAATATTGCCCGGGTGGCGGCCGATTCTAGGAACACCGTGTATCTTTAACATTTTAAACGGGACCTCCGAAAATTTTTTTCACCCTTACCCCAAGAAGACTAGATGTATAAGGTCTAGATCTAGGTATTAAATCTTAGGTACTACCAGACTACCCTAAGATCAGGGGTGTGGCCGCGAAGGTTATACAGTGAGGTTGTTGTGAGCATGTTTATAATATAAGAATTAGTCACAGTAGAATTCTGTGGAATTAGTTGACCGCATTATACGCTTATGGTGGTAGACCGTCAAGTGGACCGACATTTTTTTACAGGTCTGTCTGCCTTCGTCAAGAGTGCATAATATTCTCATTTAGATCTATGAGGTTTAAATTGACATCTGCACAGAAGAAAATCTTTTTCATGAAGCAATAGCTACGATAATATCCCCTTTCCCCTCCCCTTCATAGAAAAAAGAACGACCGGAAGTTCAACCGTTTCCAATGGTTTTGTACTGCTTTATCTGCTTTTTCTAGATCTATCATGATCACATTTTTAGACGATATTCTGCAATTTCATTTTCACATCTGCCCAGGCTAGATCTATAGCCAGGCCTAGGTCTAGTCTATACACCGTTCAACCACTCTTCTCGGAACATTCCCGTGCTCTTGTTTCAGCATGCCTACAGATGCAGAGACTCTCGCCGAAATGGGGTTCCCCCTCAATAGAGCGTAAGGAAGCTGTGTTTCTAAGTTTTCATTGATGTGTTTAGGTTAGGAGTTTTTAGGCCTATTCTAGATTCTAGAACGGGTAAATTTATAGAAACCCTCCCGTCTCAAAAAGTATAAAGGGTATTATTTTGTAGCTTTTTATAGGTTTTTTAGGGCCCTGAACACGATTTTGGCTTTGTAAAACGTCGCAAATTGTTAGTTTAGATGTTACGGCACTTTATTTCACCCCCGTTACCGGCCACCTCTATTCTCACCCGGGATGAGAATAGTGCAGGCGAGTCTTTTGGCTATTCTCACCCGGTGCGCGTTCACCGTTATAGCCTAGATTCTAGATCTAGGCCAACAAATTTTGCGTTCACCCTAAACCACAGAATTCTACACTGCGATAACAGAAACATTGTAGAATTCTGTGCCGTGAACAAACGTTCCATTACAACTGTACTGTAGCCTAGCCTACTAAAAGCGTACAATTTTGTCTGTGGGCAGTGGCGAGAGAGAAAGATAGAGAGAGAGGAGTAGCGCGAGAACTTCCGGTCAAAACAAAATGGCGACCCGCGTAGTTCGGCTCGATTCGAAAAGTTAAATAGCTGTAGCATCTTTGTAGACAACCAAATTAATTTACTTTTGTGTTTTAACATCATTTTTTAACTTTGTTTTGGTCAATTTGATCGTCCACACCGATAGACAGTATTCAGAAAGAGACAGAGAGAGAGAGATAGGGGAGGAGTAGATCTTGCGAGAACTTCCGGGCAAAACAAAATGGCGACCCGCGTAGTTCGGCTCGATTCGAAAAGTGAAATAGCCATAGCATCTTTGAAGACGATCAAATTAGCTTACTTTTGTGCTATAACGTAATTTTTTCTTGGCTTTTATCAATTGGATCATCCACACCGATAGACAGTATTCCAAAATGAGGAAAAGCAGGTCTTGTTTCGCACCGGGTGAGAATAGCCTACGCTGGCAATTCTCACCCGGGGTGAGAGGTAGATCGTTTTTCTATTCTCACCCCGGATGAGAATAGCCACTTCCCCCGTTACCCGACCTACTACACTGTCTGCGTCTACACTGCTATAACGTACTCGCACATCAGGGGGAGACCCCCTGAAACCCCCCTAATGTCTATAAAAGCATGCATTATCAAAATAAAATCATAAATCTAAACCTTAACTAAAAAAAACTGACCTTATTCGTTCCGACGGCACTAAAGTGGTGAAGGAGCTGACTTCCGGTAGTGGATGTGACGCGAAACGGGAGTGCTTCTATAAAAATACCCTAGAACGAAGTATACAGACTCGGTGGCGCTTTTTCTGTAGTTCCCACCCCGCAATTGTTATTCGCCGGTTTTGGCCCCAAGAGTAGGGGGGTTTCAGGGGGGCTTACTAAGAAAAATACGGTGGGGGGGTTTCAGGCATGCATGCCCCCCTAAATTTTACCACAATTTAATGTTTTGCAGTTGTTAGATTTGATATCTTAGCTCGCCACGCATTCATCAACAAACGTATGTATAGATTCTAGATCTATATCTAGATCTAGATGTAGGTCAGGCTCAAATAAGGGGGGTGGGAACTACCCAAAAAGCACCATCCCGGTAACCGGGAACAAAGTCAGGAAGTATACAGACCCGGTAACATGCGATTAAACGTAGAAGGACGCAAACTATTTTTATGTGTGGCGCCCATCTTGTTTGACGTCAGACCAGGATACCCCTCCGATCACGTGACTACATCTAAGTATAGGCAACCGCATGGAAATGTATATTAAGTTTTGTCCTGCATCTGTGCCAAAATGCGAATCTTATCAGCAACCGATTACGTCGGATGTGCCGGGCAGGCCGCTGGGGTCACTCAGTGTGTACTGTTGGTGTACAACGTGCGCGCCGGGAAACGTTTGTTTTCGCCATGAATACCGTGGGAGTGTGTTAATCGATGATGAAAATAACGCTCTACCTTTATAGCTTTCTATAAAGTGTTACAAACACATAAATAACCCCCTCTCATAAGCTGATGGACATTACGAGTAGTTACGCCCCTTTGAATCCTTTCTGGACGCTCTTGTTGTTATAAATGACCTGAGGTTCGAAAGGGGATAATATAGGTCAATTTCCGAACGTTTTGCACTCAAATTGTTCTTTGTACCTGCACAGTGGTATTCAAAACTTATCAAACAAGCTTATTTATCAGGTCGTTTCATACAAAATCAAGCTCTTTTGAAAGATTTTGTATTGAGAAAAATGTAAGTCTTGTTTCCTGACAATCCCTTTGAGCTCCTCATGTCTAAGTGGGTCAATTTCTTCTATAATTTCATTGGATGAACATCTAGAGCTACCAACTTGGTGTGTTTTGAATGAGACGCATGCCTCGATTACGAACCAACGCAGGCGGTTCTAGAAGAAGGCCACAAACGCATACAAACTCAAGCAGACTGACGCACACACAATTGACCTGCGTGAATGGGGATCCGAGTCGGGACTCGAATTTCACGTAAGGCGATGCGCATGCGCTGAGCCAGGGGCTACACTGATTCGGGACTAGAACGTAGGCGAGATGCCGAAATAGGTTTATCAGGCGACATAAACCCGGCTCCCGCAGGACGAGGGTTAAGCTTCTACCTCTCGCTGTCGGAAGTTCTGATGGCCGAATAGACAGCGCGTCTGCGTTTGAAGTCATGCAAAGATTTTATGTGCTGTTCGATCCCGGTCCCGGACAGTTTTTTTCTCTTCTCCTCCTCCCGACTGACCAACAGTTCGTCCCATAAATTATAATTTGTTGCTTTGTAGTTTGTTTAAAAAAAAATTTATATTAGTGATGAAAAATGCAGGGGGGGGGTAGATCCAGATCTAGATCTACAAATCCTCCAGCGTCTTAACAGCAATTTTCGTGCGGTATATTGTCTTTGCGTTTACCTTTTTTCAATTTCAAGCATCAGCGTTCTTAATCTTACTGTTCTGAGCATCAACGATCTAGATCTAGATCTGAGTGATCTTCCATCATGTCTAAGTACTAGATCGGAAATCCAAAATGTTACAGAATACACGTCATTCCATGCGGTGGAGTCTGTGGGTATTCCAGGAAGTGATGACATCACGTTACTAAAATTAGCAGTCAATCAGAAAGATGCGTCTTCTACGTTTAACGGGATGTACTCGGTAGGGGAACTCTTTTGTGATTTCGGAAAGTTTCAGTGCCCAGACCCAGTAGTTTGGGTGTGTGGGTGTGTGTGAGAGAGAGAGAGAGAGAAGTGCTATCAAAATGTATATGACATGCCCCAGTTGGCAGGAGGGAACGAGAGAAAGATAGGGTGGGAAATAGGTGGGGAGAGAGAAAGACAAAGACAAACCTTGACCATGACCATGACCATCAATGATTTATTTATAGAGGCATCAGCCATCCATGTCCAGGTGCTGTTTTAGCCTCTTTTTCCTGTATGCGATTAATAATTCTTTTTGCCAATTTATTGTTTCTGCTTCTATGTACCCCATATCTATGGTTCTCAACCTGGAAATCGCCTATAATTCGCTCGAATTGTACTACCATTTCTCATCACCCCCCCCCCCCCCCCCCCCACTTATAGTGTCATCATTTATGTTACCGTCTATTCTTATCGATAACACGTGGATTAAGGGCAGTATTAATGATAATTAAGGAAAAAAACAACAAACCAAAAAAAACCCCAAAAAACATCAATTAAATAATAAATAAATAAATAAATAAATTTTAAAATAAATAAGAAAGAAAGAAAGAAATAATGCTAATGATTATCATAATACAAATATTGATAATGAGAAGAAGAAGAAGAAGAAACACGGTCTTAACATCAATATCAAAAACAATAATACTAACAATAGAATTGATTTGAGTAAAATAATGAAATAATATTAAAATAATAAATGCAGTAATATTATTATAAATTAAAATTTCTAAAAGGACACTACTTGGAATCCGCCGATTGTATGGGATCAGATACCTTGTATGAATACGTTAAATTAGATCATTCAATCCGTACAATATGAGGCTATATCTTCAGATCACCGTCCTTTTTTTTTCAAGAGGAAAGCAGATGTCTATTCTCATGTTGTGTTTGGTCATTCTATTGAGTTACATCTATAAGACCAATCTCCTCGTGGTTTAAGGAGTGGAGATATGATGTATAAACTCAACTATTGCATTTTTTTTTCTTTTTGTAGACGGTCACATCCTTTTACCGACATCCTCTTGTGTAAGGAGTGGAAAGAAAGATATAGAGACCCATGTTTTAAATCACTTTCAACTTGTAAAGTGGCTTGTTTTTGTTTTGTTTTTTCGACATCATTTCCTCCATTCTTGAATGAAATGGATTGAGATATATTCATATATTTCATTCGGATAGAGAGATAGAGGGAGGGGGGAATGTAAAATTATATTGCTTTTATATATTAAAGGTAATAGTTGAAAATAATAGCCATGATAACGATGATAGTAATAACGATAGCCATAACGACGGTGGCAATAATAAAAACAACAATAATAACAGTAGCAATAATAGAAACAACGATGAATAACTATAATACTACTACTACCAATAATAATAATGACATCAACAACAATAACAACAACAACTACGACTACAACAGCAACAATAACAACAATAATAATAATACAGTATAAGTAAACAAATAAGTATGAAGAACAACTTTTCTTGGAGCATACCCATATTCTATATCTCCAGCCCCCCCCCCCCCCCCCCCCGTTTCCCCGCCCCAGAGAATAATAATAATAACAACAACAGCAATAATAATAATAATATTAATAATAATAATAATAATAATGACAACAACAACAATAATAATAATAAATAACCCTGTTCCCCTTGTTAAAGCATAGATTAATTTGGATAATGTTAGAGGCAAGAGTTTGCCTGTATATAGGATATTTTTTATTTATTTCTTCAATTAAATTTTTAATTAGAATTTTCGTCTGATTGCTTCTCTTTGGGTACAGAATGTTTGTAGTGTCAAAATGAATGCCTTCCTTTTTAAATTGATCTTTTAACGCATTTTGGTATTGTATGAACAGTTCACATTCCAAAAGTACGTGATCAATTGATAGTGTTTTTTGGCACTGGTGGCATATTTGATTTCTTTTGATGAAGAAATATGGTGAGTATAATCTGAGTCGTGTAATCAAGTTTTGGCCCTCTCCATACGGTACTATAGTTTTTATGTTTGGTACTATCTTTTTAAAGAATGTGCCTGTCTTTGAATTTGTCCATGCAGTCTGAAAAATGTTTTCTTTTACTCTTTGGTGTAAAAGATATTTCATTTCGAGTGGTCCCAGTTTTGTATTTATATATTCTTTCTTTTGCATTCTTCAAACAAAGAAAAAGAGAATGCAAGGGATACACAGAGACAGAGGAGAGAGAGAGAGAGAGGCAGAGAAATAGAGAAGGTGACTGCTCAACTGAAATTATGATATTGTTCTTTTCTTCAAATTGTGATTCCTCCAACTCCAAAACGGAGGAAAAACGATCGTTCATCGAAAAGACATCCGCAATCTTCATTTAGATCTAGATCTAAGCTAGCCTCGAAACAAGATCAATGATTTATGTCTGTCTGTCTTGATCTAGACCTAGGCCATAGATCTAGAAGAACCTAGGTCTACCCTGAGCTAAGAGGGCGCTGAAACTTTCCGAAATCACAAAAGAGTTCCCCTACTGGGTCTGTATACTTTGTGACTTTGTTCCCGGTTACCGGGTCTGTATATACTCCCATTCTAGAATCTAGTCTCCTTTGACTTTACTTTAGTCAGTCAAACATTTCCCGTACTGGGCCGTAGATCTACTAGATCTAGATCTATATCTAGATTCTAGATCTAGTCTAGAGTCAAGTGTTTAAACTGTTTTGTTCCTTTGAGTCTTGACTTTTTTTTTTCTCCAGCTCATCAACAGATCGCCATCGAAATCACGAAGACGTACAGTTGAACCTGTGTAAGACGGAATCACAAGGGAGCCGGAAAAAATTTCCGTCTTAGACAGGGGAATTTAGGGGGAGATCGAAAGGGGCGGGGGGGGGGGGGGGGGGGGGGGGGTCAGAGGCCCAGCTGGTGGGATATCAAGGGTCGCTTGTCCGATCGGCTAGCAGAGGTCAAAACTTCACACCTCTCAATAGCTATCCTGTCTGATAAGGACATGCGACAGTCTTACTTATCCAATTACAACCAGTGCTTGCCTTTCATGGGACCACTGATTGACCTCTATTGAAAATAGAAACGTTTGAACATCACCATGGTTCCACCATAAGCCCCACCCACCAATGAGTCCAATGCCACCCCTCACTGCCATCATTATAACGATTCGAGGAACTCTTTTCTTGGCTGGCATTGGTCAATCTAATTTCACACCTCTGGCTTCTGGCTACCCAGGACAGTTTCCGAAGTGGCTCGCTACCCAAGCACTCTCATGGGCAGTTGTGAGATTTCACACACACACTGCCCTGACCATGTGCATCGCTCAGGGCTCACATAATGGGGTAACATCTACCCCCAAATTGCACCCCTACTCCCTTTCCTTGTCCAGCGGCATGGCCATGGCGTTAAGTTTAGAGCCGGCGGAACCAAACTTGCGAGTTTTGTTTCAAATCAGGGCTGAACGTGCAAAGTATCTTCCGTCTTAGACAGGTGAAATCCTCGGAAGGGAGTAGATTTTTCTTTCTGTTTCCACGTTGGACAGGTTTCCGTTTTATACAGGTAATTAAAGAAGAATATATCAAGGGGGAAGCTGGGAGATTCCGTCAAGACAGGTTTCTGTTTTACACAGGTTTCCGTTTAGGCAGGTTCGACTGTATATCTAGACTAGGCCTAGATCTGTATCCTAGATCTAGTTTCTATTACGAATTAAGCTACACAGGTCTATGATGAAGAGGCTCAGACTCTGTTTTTTTTCCCGAAGTGACTATTTCTACGAACACTCAGGAAAATAAACTTGATCTCTATTTCTCCGAACGGTTCCCGTTCTCGAGATTTTTTGGTTATTTGTGAGATTTAGGCGTCATCTTTCATTCTGCCAGTCGACGAGGACTGGGAATTGGAAGCACTTTTTGCATGGAATTCAATTTCTAGAGCTAGATCTGGAGATTTTTAAATGTCTGAATATTCAGATACTTCAATTGTCGTTGGGGCAACATTCCCAGACTAGATCTATACTCCATTTGAAAATGCCTTCAAAAAGTACTTACTTCAAGAAAACAAGACTGCTCCACCTTGACAGTAACATATTTTGCATTTAGTCACCCCTAAAGCAAAAACTAAAATCCTTCATGTAAACAAAACAAAAAAAGTCCTCCACCTCCGCCGCCACGCACCGTTCACACTTTACGCACACACTCTCACACACACACACACACACACACACACACACACACACACACACACACACACACACACACACACACACGGGCCACTCCATTAGCAAATTATCAACAAATCTCGAGAAAGGAGACCGTTGGGAGAAATACAGTTCAGGTTTATTTTCCCGAGCGTTGGGAGAAATAGAGTCGGCCTTTTTTTTTTTTTTAGAAGATCAGTGAGGTGAGCACAGGTTCAATATTTTTATACACTGATTAGGCCTATAGATCTATATGAATGATGAATATAGTTTTAGTGTCTAGTAAGACCCAGTAAGTCTCATCATTCATCATTTTAACTCTTTTACACTTAATCTACTCTTTGTCTCTGGAAAAGGGGTTTTACCATTATGATGCTGGAAGTAAGAGCCCTTGCCTTTGGTGCGAAATCTGACAATGACAAAGGCACCAAAGGCTTTCACGTCAATTAAATTGATCATTATTAAATCAAAACAGATTTCTATGTACTTATGGTAAAATTTTTACTTTTAGACCCACAAGCAGATGCACTGGTTTGGGGGTAGACCGCCATTTAATTTTTGCTGCAGACCACTCATATAATGGCCACTAAAACCTTTGCCTTGCAAATCTATTATTTTCAAGAAAATGTCCAGCCTAAATTTTGCAAGACTTTTAATTATGGTGAAATCCCCCCCCCCCCCCCCCCCGATTTTTTTTAGCCCCCTGAAACCTCCCTTGTTAAAAACAAGTAAAGTATTATTACTATTACGCCATTGGCTATACTGGTCCTATTGTAATATAGTTCGTATAAAAATATCCATACATCTCATAAACTAATAATTTACAGTGGATATAAAGTAAAGTCACAATTCGTATTTAAAGCAGATAAGAATGATCAAGAAAAGTGCTTTAGAATATCTGAGCATGAGATGGGTCGAATGAGTAAAATAACACCATACTTATTTTAATAGTTCTTCATCATTCATCAAATTAAAGAACTGGTAACGCAGTTTTTGTTTCTGGCATACTCTGACTGCTGTTATCTTTGCCTCTCTGGTATTTCTATTTTGCATACAGTTGAAATTTCTAAGATGACCACTTATTGTTGAGGAGAAAAATGGTTGTCTTAGACAGGTGGACGTCTTGGGCAGTGTCTTAAATACATACGAGGGGACATGGGAAGGGGTTGTGTGTACAGGTCATTGTCCTTGGACAGGTTGCTGTTACAGTAAGTCCTGACTGCTTTGTAAATTTTAATTTCAGGCAAAAGGCTCTCGCTAGAACTGGGTATAAAGGTGTGCAACTGGCGATGGATTGGTGAGTAATACACAAATTTTAAAATTAAAATACTACAAACAGTATTTTTTGGTTGTAGATCTTTATTGGAATATTTGAAATCATACAGACAAAAATGTAATTTTCCCCCTGATATAATGAATAATGCGCATGAATTATAACAATAATTCACCTGCTCCAACACAATCATTTTTTTCATGTTGAATAGTGCAATTATTTTTTTTAATGATTAATTTGTGGTACACTTAATTATAGTTCTGAGACGCATGCTTGATGATGTGATTTTTCTATACCCAGGCTTTTTGCCCATGCTGATGATGCTGACATAGATGAACCTTTTGAAGTTCCTGCCGGAAACGTTTTAGGCAAAGGTTAGATACTTTCATGCTTTAAAAAAGAATCTTTTATATTAGAATATAATTTGACCATTGTGCTTTGTGTTACAGATGAATAAGTGGAAATATATTCCTCTACATGCTGTAGTCTTTATGATTGATGCATTATTGAAACAGAAAAAGACAGCAATCAGGAAAAGACAAATGCACTTTCAATGGGCACTTGAATAGACATGAAAAGGCCTTGAACATCTAGCTCTCACTGGCAAAATTGAAGGCAAAGAAGGCACTGGTAGACCAAGAGCAACCTACTTGGAGAGCCTATATACAGATGGATGGCAGGGAAGGATTGGATGTGTCACTTTTTTGACACGGCGTCACTTTTCGCCCGATTCTGTTACCTTTAGTTAGCGTGACTCAGCAGCCCGCCAGAGCTCCCCGGCTCGAGGTCACGGGGTTAATGAGCCCTGAAGCGACTTTGCCGGTGTCGGCTAGGAAGTTTGCATTTTTGACTGTGTTTAAAACGATATAACTTCTTTCCCATCCCACACAGCAAACCATTACACAGATGTACTAAAAGCTCAATGTCTTGAGATTTATTCTGCGTTAGAATGGTTCATTTCTGTGCTTTAGTTTTTGTTCTAGACAAGTGTTTATAGAGTACCCAATTTGTCCTATTTTAGTTTCAAACTTATGAATAAATTATTGTTAATTTAAAAAAGGCACGACAGATCTCTCCAAAATCTGTGTTAAACTGACTACGAATATCATGTATTTTACCATGAGAAATCTTAAATCTGCTCGAGTAGTAATAGTCATGTTATAAGAGAAGAAAGATGTACATCTGCATTTTATAACTAAAGACAAATCAGCGTTAGCTCTTATTTTACTATTAAACAACAAGAGAAAGTTACTCTGCGTTTGTTCATGAATCATGCTGTGTCTGTGGCAGCCTGCATACACCTAAAAAGATATAATATAAGTGATTTAAAAAACCCACAAAACCGTGTAAATACATGGGTAGAGATAAATTACTTGTATGGAATAAACATAATGACAGCTAACACATTCATTCTTAGTTTTTGTGTCGGAAATTGCGCGGACACAATTGTGAATGAAAAGAAATCAGTCACATTGTCAGTTATTGCAAATGGTCATAGAAACGAAAAATAAAGCTGGAAAAGTCTTGTGCTGATTCAGTGTCCCTGGAAAGCTAGAAATTATTCTTGTAACCCAATTACGAGAAGTCAACCCTATTATTCAGTCAACTTACAAAACCTAAACTTAGCTTAGCGTTTTAAGAAAAGTAAGGAATTTCTGGAGTGTAACAGATACTGTTCGTGTATTACATTGAAGATGTATTCTGGCATTAAAATCGATTTGTACTTTTTATAGAGAATCTTCATGGTAGCTTTTAAACTTTCGAGAAAATATGCAAATATGCACGATTATATTAGACACATAAAGTTGCATTTGGAGGAATTACTTCAAAGCGAATTGTGTGCCCGATGGATAAAGTAGCAAAATGACAGCTTTCTATTATATGCGCAGATACCATCTTTTCTGAGTATCTGCACCAATGCTATGTCGTTCATGTTCCAAAAGTTTGACAGATTTTGTCGAGGTCATTTTTTTATATTGATTTTTTTTTTCATTCACGCTAGTCCCAAAAAAATTGCAATTTAGCATTGCCGACTCCAGCACATCTAACGAAATGACCAGACAAGTTACAACGTCCGGTTTTTTTTTGGTCTCAAGAGCAGAAATGCATGCTTTTGGTGCACTAAATGAGAATTACCGTAAATGCAAGGATGTGTCTAAAATTGTTCGTTGAAAGGTACCAAAAATTAAGTCGGCCCAGACAGAGCGGCGACAGGGAGCTGACCCCAACGTGATAAGGCGCCCGGCGGGGAACCCCCCGTGGCAACTAAAATTCCACTGCCGGTGCGCCGTGTTGAGAGTATCCGAGCAAAAGAGAACCATGATCACGATGTCTGTCGCAGTTCTGGCTCTTGCATTGATGATGATGATACATATAATATTATAGAGCCTGTTTATTTCTGACATTGTAAGTCTCTAGTCTCTTCAACAGGTTAAAGAATGTATTTAAGATATTAATTTAATAACTCGTCTAAAACAATTGTGATGAAATAAATTACTGTACTGTGTCAGTGATCAAAGAAAGTTGCTACTCTGAGCTCAAGTTTATGCAAAAATCAAACACCAAGTTGCTTTATATTTTACATGATTATGCTTTGTTATCATTGAAGAGCTTATATACTTGTTATAATTCAATTTGCAACTGTCTCTCTGTCTAACATATTTCTTGAACATTATTCATCATTCTGGACTGAATGAGCGACTTATTCACATGAGATTTGAAAAGCTATGATATTCCTCAGTAGGTTTTATGCATCGTTCTTGTAATTCTAGAAATGTTAAGCTATTGAGTTATTTTCTAAGCTTTCATTACTTCTTGATTACTGCATTACTCAAAGAGGAGGGAAAAAATTATTATATTTTCTTTTTTATATGACTGTAGCAAAGGCATTTTTTAGCTTCCTGGCATGGACATGGTCTGTTTGCAACGAAACTGTCGTAGAATGCTTATTCCATACTATTCAGACTCTACAACATTTCTTTTTCATATGTTCAAATACTTATTCTGTATTATTGATATGTGGGTGCATTGTTTATGAAGAACAGTTTTTGCTAGGATAAGAATAAAATTGCAACGGGAATGCTGTACGTAGGAAAGTACTAGAATAGATAATGACTTTCCTTTATTTAGAGAACAATTATTGTGTATTTGGAAATACTATTTTAAGCCCAGGTAGGCATATTTAATTACCCTTTTTATTCTCATATCCATTTTCCATTTTTACTTTTCTCGCAGAGAGTGAGAGTAGTTCTGCCTCAGGGGAGGGAAGTGGAGGGACGGATGAGAGTCAAAAAACAGAGACAAGTGATGGTGCTGCACTTTTGCTGGCGAAATCCCTCAAGTGTAATGAGTAAGAACATCATTCTTTGTTATTTTTGTGGCTTGCCTTTTCAAACATATTTCACCCTTTGCCGACTCGTGTTAGCTTAGAGGACTCAACCATGTCGGAAAACCTTGAACTCAATTTCTGATAACTTATGCTTTTTTAAAGAAGCCAGAAATTCGCACATATCCACAATCTTATATTTCTTTTATATTCAACTGCTGCCATTCTTTAATCAAGGTTTTGCATCATGAAATAGTTTGTTTAGTAATATCAACATCATCAACTGCACTGAGATATTATCAGTGACCTAAAGTTTAATGTATTCTTTGGATGGGTGTATGTCCTTTCTGCTACTCATGAAATGAAATACTGGGACAGAATGATTAAACAAAAAGGTTGGGTTTTTTTTTTTAAAAACCAATGTCTTTCAATAATGCAAAAGTGATATACCAAAGTGAACATCATCACATCTGTACACTTCAACATGGAAGCTTGTCTTTTCACAGAGGTGTACAAGGAGGAATGGCACTCTGACAAATGGATGGTTTGGTTGTTGGATGTGAACGTTTCAGTTTACTTCAGGATATTTCTTTTCACAGATGTGGCAAGCTTTTAAAGAGTGAGATTGATGCCCAGGCTCATGCAGCCCGCACACAACATACAGACTTCTCAGAGAGTACTGAAGAAATCAAACCTTTGACTGAGGAAGAAAAGAAAGAGCAGATGATCAAGTAAGTAACATGGGCAGATTTGATTCAAATTGAATATGGTGGTAGTTACAGTTTTGTTACTTTTTAAACATTTGCTCTTCATTTGTTGATCACTTGTGAGGTTTTTCAAATACGAATTACAGGTACAGTGGTGTTATTCGTGAAACTGCATTGTGCCTTAAAATCCGTCTCAACAAATTTCTGCAGATTTTCACCCTTTGTTCTTTTTGCTATTAACTTTGAACAGGCTACAAGACCGTTTGAAACAGAAGAGGCTTGAAAAAGAGGAGCAAGAGAAGAAAGAGCAGATCCAGAGAGAGAAAATGAGGAGAAATCAAGGTCGTGACCTTGGAATGGCTAAGCAAAAGTAGGTTGCCGTATTTGCTAAGTTTGTAGACAATAGTTCATCTTTTTATTCTGGGACAGTTGCTTTGAAATAAGGGGTTTGTAGTGATTACATGCCTTCTATTTGTGAGGTTTTATTTTCATTTGTAGAGTCACAAAGCAAAGGTTTATTAGAGGACTTTTTAAAGCAAATTTAAGGAAAGAAGACCTGAATATTCTTTTCTTCTTGTATTGAGTTCAAATTTCTAAGAAAATCATGCTACACGCCTAAAGCAGACACTTATTGACATAGAAAATAAAGAAATCACGTGTTATTTACAGTACTCATTAATTCAAGGAATTTTGTTATGCTTTATATTCTGTGACTTGCAGGGCCCTGTCTATTCACCACAAGATGTAGCCCTTTTGTAGTTGTCTTCATTCTTCTTTTTGGTCCGTCTTGTCTAGTCCATTCCTGTACCGCTGTCTGTGCTATGTCATCTTCCCACCATATCTATGGGCTCCCTCTTAATCCTTATTGTGACAGTAAAGTAGAGCACTCAACGTCCTCCAAGTGATGTGAAAATGAGATCATCTAAATCATTTTCCATATTTCTTGCTGACATTTTTCGTCATCGAATTATTTATTTACTTAATTACTCATGAAACCTATTTTGTCTGTACTCAGGAATCACTTAAGTTTTTTTCATAAGTCTTCATGACTTTTGAGATGAGTGGAAGCTTCAGTACCGGTGTCAATACAAATGTTTTTTTTGTGAAAACAGGTGTCAACAGTGAAACTGATTTTAAAAACCCAACCCAACTGAACTGACACTCTGACTGGCTCAAAAGTGAAGATTGTGTTGATGACTCATGGTCTGCTGAGCAACAGCAGTATTTAAATGGGTATAAGGTGTACAGGCAATTTTCCCTCCCTTTTCTGAATATCCGGACCCCTCTGAAAGACATGTCACAACTCACAACTAACACAGAAAAAATTAATATTTTTTCCTCAGTGGGCCTCTGTTCAGTACAATGCGTTATTTTTTGTCCATTTTCTTTTTATGTCGTTTCGATTTTAAAATGTTTGTTATCTGTTTTAATTTCTAGAAACAAGAAATTGAAGAGAGTTTTTGACTTACATCTCTGCTTTGACAATCTTTCTTTCTAGAACACTTTGTATGGTTTGCAAATTTTAAAATATGTTGCTTTGTTAGTGACCAGGTTTCACAGTTGTATTCTACTACTTTGATGGTGCACTTATTGAATTTGAATAGTCTTTGGAGAGTTAATAGTACTTTTTCCTTCCATAAATATTTTTTTTATTTCTACCAAATCGGTACTGTATTCTTTAGGCATATTCATTGCGGCTAGTTTTGAACTATCCTGAGTTTTATTTGTTTTCATCAATTGCACAGGATGGAGGAAGCGGAAATGAGAAAAATAGCAGAAGAACGGAAACGTGAGAAAATGGAAGAGAAGATGGCAAGGTAAATGTTAGATTAAGCATTGTTTGAATGTTAACCCTCGTCCTGCGGAGGCCGGGTTTATGTTGCCCGATAAGCCTATTTCGGCACCTCGCCTGCGTTATGGTCCCGCGTCAGTCTAGCCCCTGGAGGGGCTCAGCACACGCGGGCCGAGCACCATCTCCCTTTGAATTCGGGTCCCGAGTCAGATCCGCATTCACGTAGCTGAAGTGTGTGTGCGTCTGTCTGCTTGAGTTTATGTGCATTTGTGGCCTTCTTCTTGAACCACCTGCGTTGGTTCGTAACCGAGGTATAAGTCTCATTCAAAACACGCCAAGTTGGTAGCTTTAGATGTTCGTTCAATGAAATTATAGAGCAAACTGACCCACTTAGACATGAGGAGCTCGAAAGGATAGTCAGGAAACTAGACTTTCATTTTTCTATACAAAATCTTTCAAATGAGCTTGATTTTGTATGAAATGATACTACCTGATAAAAAATAAGCTTATTTGATAATTTTGAATACCATTGTGCAGGTACAAAGAACAATTTGAGTGAAAAACATTCGGAAATTGACCTATACTATTCCCTTTCGAATCCCAGGTCTTTCACAGCAACAAGAGCGTCTAGAAAGGTTATTCGAATGGGCTTAACTACTCGTAATGACTTATCAGCTTATGAGAGGGGGTTATTCATGTGTTTGTAATACTTTATAAATAGAAAGCTATGAAAGATAGAGTGTTATTTTTATCGTCGATTAACACACTCCCACGTTATTCATGTTTCCCGGCGCGCGCTCTGTACACCAACAGTACACACTGAGTGACCCCAGCGACCTGCCCGGAACGTCCAATGTAATCGGTTGCTCATAAGATTCGCATCTCAGCACAGACGCAGGACAAGAGTTAACCTACTTAAAATCTTGCCAGGATGCTTATGCCGGAAATAAATAATGCTCATTTCTCTCCCTGTTATAAGATTTTATTTTTGTCACCATCACGTCTCTCACTATTTTTTTCCTCTCTCCGTTTCCTTTCGTGCTTTCATCTTCTTTAAAAACCTACTGCTCATTTAATCGAGTAAGAGCTCTAAGTTGGGTGTCTGCGTGTTAATGGTTAGGTTTTGCGTCAAATCTGCCTAGTACTCTAATAATGTCAGAGCTCTCCAATTTTTTATTTGCCTGTCAAAGGACCCTAACCAAAGGTGCGTGAATCTGATTTTCTTTTTCAGTCAGGTTGTACGTGACATTATACTTGATGTTAAAATGTACTTTTTTGGTGTTTATAATATTAGTGCAACTTATCGAAAATGCCAGGAAAATACCCATTTTTATTTGTGTTGGGATTTAACATTAACAGTTAAATCAGAGGAGTTTTAAGCTCTATAAAGCTGTATAAGCTTCTCCTTTAGCTATTTTATGTAAAATCTTTCTTGCTTACTGTTAGTTCATTTTGTTAAAAGCTGAGAAGAAATCCTTTGTAAGACTTCTGTAAAAGAAGTGAGACAAGGGCCTTGTGTTTTATTGGGTTTCATGCTGGACATGATTTTTCTAGAGATTTGTCATAATGCATGGAGGTGAGATTGCTGTACAGAGAGATAAAGAGTCACACAGCTAAGCATGTTGAGGTGAGGACTGGTGAGATCACCCTGACTTGTTTGGGTATAGTCTTCTTCATCTTGATCGAATCACACCTGAAGTCTGGTATCTATCCTTAACTGGGCTGTCCTACTCTGTTTGTTTTTTTTCTGTTGGCCTGTACAGCTTTTCCTGTAGTGTTAATGGGGTTGGCCACGTTTCCTGTCTTATGGGTTTAGGATAGTGAAAGTCGGAAAAAATTAGTTAGTCCTTGCGCTTTCGTTGGGGCGACGAGTCATGAGATAATGCTGTCCTGTCAGGCTTTCACTTTTGAGTTCCTTCTCTTTGATACTACTCTATGGTTCCAATAAAGGTTATAAATCTTAAAAACTATTAACTATAACTAATTTCTTTCTTTTTCCCTCTACCAATACCATAGTTTCTTCTTTTTTTCTCCCCCCCCCCCCCCCCCCCCCCCCAGTTTGTATCAGTGTTCCTCCTTTGTTTTATCCACAGACAAAGAGTCAAGGAGCAGATAGAAAAAGATAAGAGGGACAGAGCTGCTAAGGTATGGTTTGTACAATGAATGCAATATTTTTCCAAAAATTATGAAAAGCCTGTTTCTTTCTTTTATCGATCATATCTACATTATGTATCTTTTCTTGCTCTTTTTTTTTTTCAACGTTTAGAATTTGAATTTTGGCCAAAATAATTCTGGAGCACATGTAAACAATACCACAGATATCTGACAATCCTGATTTGTCTTTGTGAGGGATAAGCAGGTGGGGTTTTTTTCTGCGCGTCCATTTGAGGTTGAAAATAATCATATACTACAGGTTAATATTTCATGGTGGTTTTTATTTCACCATATTCGGTTCAAAGAAGCAAAACAAAAAAGATCTACAGGTAGATGAGAAAGAAGATAGCAGGATGACATTAAAGAGACCTGGACTCGGACGACAGCTGATGAAACAGAGTGTGGGTCATTGTTGTTGAGCTACATCCTGCAGTGGACGAACAGCGCTTAAAAGAAAGAAAGCAAAACTCGCCATTGACCACATGACAATTGGAAACTTCCGAAATCGAAAAATGCTTTGAGCTACATATAAATAGAAGGAAAAGAATTCATCTTCCGCTTGTAGCTTTAAAATGCAAAGTATGATGATGTGAAATGAGTCACATTGTAAGTTTTTTAAATTTAAAAAGTTCTTTTTTAAGAAAGACAAAGAGAAAACATTGCTTATTGATATCCTGGTCATAACCATATACTTATATAATTAAGACAAATGGGTGCTAAATTAATGATAAAAGTTTGATGAAAATGAGTGTGGGCAGTTAAAATTTATCTGAATAAAAAAGACCATCATGTTTTTAGTTTGATGAGCTATAGTCTCCAGTTCTGTGAAAGTTTTCATATATAGATTAATTTTAAATTTCTTATGTTCTGGCTTTTTCAATTGAATGTCTTTTTTTTTAAATGTGTATATTATGTGTTTTTCCTGCTTGTGATGACAGTTTTCCAATCAGAAGCAAGAAGCGACGGCTTCACCATCTTCTGCACCAGCTGCACCAGTTCCAGCGGCAGCACCAGCAGCCCCGAAAGAGTACACAGACTGCAGGCTACAGGTGAGCAGATGACATGAAGCAACAAACACTGCAGTGGTGTTTCAATTTTTGCTCCTCAGTGACCGCTGTCTGTGGTGTAGCAGTTAGTCGTTTCAGCGTCGCACACAGAAGACCTGAGTTCGATCCCTATGTGGGAAGAATTTTTATAGAGTATTTCGGCCTGTTTGCTGAGATGTTTTATCCCTCACAGCTTGGGTTGACTCTGACAGGCAGGATGGAAGTCAGCCTCCTAATTGATCTAAATATGTGTCGATAGAGGCCTTAAAACACTCACATTCTGCATCACAGTGTTATATCTCCTGTTCTCCTTTGCTGGGCAATTGAGGTTTACATTCTCTTCTTTGAAGTTGGGTTGTTTGAAAATAGAGATAGGACTTGGTTAAGCATAATGTAACAACTTTTATTGTGTTTTGTATTCCCTATTAGGTTATTTGTAGAACTTAATACCCTAACCATTTTTGTAGTGGGAATAGTTTCTCAAAGTGAAAACTGAGTGTACCTGTATTGTAAAGCTCATTTGTTTACTTAAAACTTCATTGGAGATTGGTGTTCAAGGGTATAATAAGTAAATAAGTTTTAGATCGAGAAAACATAATGTACCTCTGTATGCCTATATCAGCATGTTGTATCATCTGAACCCTGTAAAAAAAATTTGCTTTACATAACTTTTTCATAATAATGAATCAGTAGGAATGACTTGTACCGCATCTTTTTTCCCCTCTAGATACGGCTGACGAATGGTCAGGCTCTCACTCAGACTTTTGGGGCCAAAGAACCACTTAGCGCCGTCCATTTGTACGTGGAGTTGAACAGAACCGATCCTGCAGGTCCCTTCTCCCTGATGACTTCATTCCCTCGAAAAGTTTTCAGCTCGGAGGATATGGACAAGCCATTAGAGTCATTAGGTACATTTTCTGGAATATTTTTGCTGTTGTCATCAGAAGCAAAGTCACTGTAGACAAGTCTATATAAGTACACAATTCCTTTCTTTGAAAATATGGGGAAAGTATCATGACTTATGGTACCAGTCCATTATTCTTCTCTTTGCCTGTCTGTTTTAAAAAGATTTTTCTCCCTTTCCTCTTTGCACTCTGTTTTGTTTCATTCTCGACGCAGCAGGATGACTGGTGTCTGGGTGTTCTAGGCTTTGTGTGCAGTAGTCTGATGTTGGAGTGTAAAAGTTGTTTTTTTATTGATTATCTCTGTCTTTCGGGTTGTCATATCCCACTCAGCTTGGGTTTGCCTAGTCAGTCAGGATCAAGGCAGCCTGTCTCATAGGTGATCCAAATTGTGTCAACAGGGGTGTACAGTAATAGTCCTATATTGAACATGATTTTCATCTGGTTTCTTGTCCTCCCTGGAATGGTTGAGAAGTTGTGTCGAGACTTCAGCATTGTCTGGATTGATGAGGCCAGCACTCACAAGCCTCTCAGAAAGCTTGTAGGAGACCTTCTTTCCTTTTGCTGCTTAATGATTAATGGCCTCGGCAGTACAGTTGAAATTTTCTAAGATGGTCACCCATTGCCATTTTGAAAAGTGGTTGTCTGAGACAGGTGGACAGCTTGGACAATGTCATCTATTATATATTTGGCAACTTAGAAACAAGTCACTTTTCCCATAAAACTACGACAGCTACAGAGTTGAAAGTTGGCAAGTACCTGCAAAAAGATAGATAGGTCCCCATGACGGAGCCTGATTTTTTATTTATTCATTACCTGAATTTAGTAAAATATATTTGACAAAAAGTTCCCGTCCTTCTTTGGCCTTTGTGATTATTCTATTGAGAAGCGAAACAAATCTCCGTAGCTCTCCTTCACAATGGAAGTTCGTTACCGCTCTTTAACATTCACCTAAGAAACACGATTCAAGAGACGGGCTGAGTAATTTTGGAGACTCACCTGTAGTACGTGGAGACGTGATCCTGTGTATGTATCCAAAGAGTTGTTTTTAATATAGGGCCCAAAGAGAAAAACTTTTTTATTACTGGGTCAAGATTTTTTAAAAATATTTTTTTGTTTGTTCGCTAGCCTGTTGAAGTTCCATGCAAAGTTTCGTGGGCATAGGTAAATTTGTCAATGGGCTAGAATTGTTATTTAATGCTGTCAGAGGAAAGTGAACAAGCTATAGACACTGCCTCTGTGATTTTGAAGAAGTCGGTGTGTTCCTTTTTCAGTGTAGCAGCCCTTTTGTAGATTATTATTTTCTTAGTGCTTTTTTGTGATGGTGTAAGGTGAAACCCATATTTTATAATTGTGAAGGGCTAGACAGCAATACACTAAAGCAATGTAGACCAAGAGAGGAGTTAATCAAGGTAAACCTAATCTAAAGCAATACAGATTTAGAAGCCAGGTGTGACTGTGAAATGCTAGACAGCAATGTAGATGTAAAATGCCTCCGCAGTGTAGACCAGTAGGAGCAGTAATGCCAAGGCGTCGACCCCGAGCAAAGCTGGGTACTCAGCTAGTTATCGTAGTATGTATGACATCATGGTGGAATCATGCGCTCATTAAAATAATGAAATAAAAAAACATGAGTTTTCCGACTATTAGGCAATTTTAATAGGTTTTTATACAGCTAGGAATTGAAACAGCATTATATCATCTCCACACAGTTTTTGACACTCGTCCAAACAAAACGCAGAGTATAGTGATTTTCACTGACTCACTATCAGTCTTGCAAGCGATAGAAAATTACCATCGTCTAAACGAAGACTTGACACATATACTGTTTGGCTCCCATCACCTGATAACATGCTGTGGCGTCAACCTGGTGATGCAGTGGATTCTTGGACACTCAAACATACCGGGAAATGACAGAACAGACAAACTCGCCAAAAGTGGATCTAGACAGGAACAACTTAACATTCCAACCTCATACAACACTGCAAAACAAATCATTAAAAGCAACAGCAAACAAGATTGGATGGACAGATGGGCCTTGCGAAAGACAGGCAGAACAGTTTTCAAACATATGACCACAGCAAAACGCAATGACAATATCAACCACCTACAGAGAAAGAAACAGACCACGATCTTCCACCTACGGACAGAACATATACAGCTCAATTTTCACTTGAACAGAATAAAACCAGAACTTCCTCCAATGTGTCCTTTGTGTGACTGTGTATATGAGACTGTGGAACATCACCTTTTCCACTGTACAGCCCTAAATGACATCAGAGCCACACTTCTCCCTCTGAGACCTAACATTGACAACACACTCTACGGAACATTACAACAGCTGCAACAAACTGATGATTGTACTGTTGCATTGTGGATTTGAACAATTTCTTGTTGTGGGAAAGTGGGTGTGGACAAACTATTGCTGCACATACTATCATTTCTCCTCCTAGTTGAACGTAAAAACATGAACATGCAGGGAAAAGAATTACTGTTTGACCATCAAACATTGATCTGACCTGTAGAAGCATTCATTTTAATGTAAGTATTTAGATGAATGAAGGCTTCTGTATTTTTTTAATTTATCAATTATGTTTGTTACCTAGTGAAATAACACCTTATTCTAATTCTTTTTTTTAATATTCAAAACACTCTCAGAGACTACGTTTTTAAAGTTAAGAACATAAATTTCTTCCTTGACCCCCTGCTGAGAATCTTCAGAAATTTTTTTTGGGATTTGTTCCCATCCCTGATATTAATTTTAAAAACAGAAGGGGAGAAGTGGTTGTTTGTACAGGTGATTGTCTTGGATAGGTGACTGATAGAGCAAGTTCAAGTGTATATCCTCATCATGGGTCATGGGGCCTTGCATTGATGATTGTCATCTATTCTGCTGTGTATAGAGTTTCATGTCACATTTGCATTGTGCAATTTATGACCCATATTTACTAATTGTGTAACATGTCGGAGATTTTCGCTGTCAGCAAGAGTCCAAAAGAGCTGACCAGAGTCAGGAATAAGTCTGACTAAATTAAACTTGAAATCTCTTTCTTGGTGATTTTCACGAATGAAAAATAAGAGCTAAACCCAGATTCAATAATTGGAAAAAAATGTTTCTGATTCTGGCGCTTGTATGAAAATGTGCTATTTAAACAGTTGTCCAAGATGTTTTGCTCTTTTTCTAAAATTAGAGCGTCACCCTTGGATTCAACTTTTTATGTGCTCTCAGTTTACTGTTCCACTTCCCATTTTTTCTTTTTCATTTGTAACACAGCTGTGTTTTAGTTTTAAAAACAGTTTCAATTCAGAATATGTTACTGATGAGATGGTTTCTTCTTTCTACATCTAGGTCTGGTTCCATCAGCAGTGATCATGGTGACCAAGCGACAGTGATGACGGCTACATTTCATATAAGATCTTTAGTGACTGTACATTTTATAATACATCATAATAACATGTATGCAAGACAGTTGTCTTTAAATAGCAATTTAAAAAAGGAAAAACTTTGTGTTCATGGCCAATGCTGGTTTGAAATATCTTATTTCAAAATGTCCTATAATCTTCAATAAAAATATCCTCAATAGATGATTTTAGAATGCATCTAAAAAATTTAGTATACTTTTATACCATAGGGATTTTCTATTGTTGACGGCTGTCACTGATTAATGAATGTAGTGATATTCAGCACTGTGTATGGTTACGTAAATTTGGAGTTGCTCAATGTTGAGTCTCCAGTTCATTGTTTCTCTTTGTAAAACTCCTTGCATGGCAAAATAGTAGCTCTTGGGAACTGGAGAATCCCATTTTTTAGATTAATGGAAGCACTTTCATAACGGAATTTCAAAAGTGTTGCAATGTTTATGGTGAACATTTAGTTGAAGGGCAGAAGGCTGCATGAACCAGCTATTACCTCTTCACTGCATCTTAATTTCTTTGATCTAAGTTGTAATAACATTGCCCAAACTTCATGGAAATGAGCAAATGTTACAGCTGTCAGTCACGTTTTCTATAAAGTGACTTACTATCAGAACTTGAAAAAAAATTTTCAGTAGTCAAATCTTTTTTACAGTTGAGATACTTATCAACTTCAGGAAGATATCAGTGGGTTTTTTTCTGAAATACATATTTTTTATGTCTGGGTTTACTTCCTAAAATGCATATTTTCATCTTTACTATTTTTTGGTCATATTTTGAGGGATGATTTTATTTAATAATAAAAACTGTTTGATCAATACCGTACTTTTTGATTTATGTTTGACTTTCTTCTTAGTAGGATGTCTTTGTTTTTAGCTTGCTCTCTCATATATGCGCTCAAAAGCAAAAAAAGTAGCATTTTTGTATTAAGGCCAATATAATTGCTAAGATCTTTCATTATTCCAAGGGAAATTGTTCATAAAGAATTTGTCTGTTCATCCCTATATCATTCATGCATATTTTGTTACAGCAAGGGTAACAGATGTACACTGATGCTTCAAAAGTTGGTACACACATTGTTTATAATTATAAAAGACTGCTGTTCTACCTTTTTTCAACACTTCAGGGCATTACCCATTTGAAGCTGGATCATCAAAGCTGCACTTGCACCACTTGTGCTTGTTTGTTTTCCTCTCAAGAAAGATTGAACAACAGTTAGGAAAATTCCTGATCAGAACTTTAACTTTTCGAGGAATGCAAAAGAAAATGGCCTGCTTCACTTGAGGAAACCACTTGAAACATTTTTCTGTTCATGCAACCCTTCAACACATAAATCTATACTGTACCATAAATCATCACATATGATAGGACACAATTTTTTCCCTAGAAATCAGGCCTTCATAGGGTACCCTGCATCCACAAGAAAACCTAGACCCGAAAAACCCAGTGGGGGCAGACAAAAGGAACGAACATCTTGGGCCAGGTAATCAGTAAATTATGTTTACTCTCAGCCCACATTGTGTATCCCTCTATTATTTTTTTAGCTTATTTATCACAAAAATTCAGCATGAATCTTGTTTAGTGTTGCCATTCATTAACTATCAACTGTGACATTATAGATCAATCTAAGACTACAGATGAAAAACAAGTTGGTTTAAAAAACTTTGATTTGTTTTGTTTTGAAGTGTGGTTTTTTATTATTGATGAAAAGTCTGCGAACAAAGGTGATGGTGCTTGCCTTGAAAATATTGGTGTATCGTATCTGATGACCATATATGTATTATACTAAAATTTTGGCTCTCAAGTAACTGGAGTCTGTGGTGAAATGGATAGGCGTTTTGCTGTGTTGCAAACAGGAGAGCCAAATTTGATTCCCGAGTAGGGAGAAAATTTTCATTTTGTATCATGGTCTTTCCGCTGGGATGTTGTATTCCTCTCAACCCAGGTTGGCCCTGACAGGCAGGGTCAGGAAACCTGCTTTCTAAATGGTGTATATAGTGTCGATGGGTGCGTAAAACTCCTACAATTACATTATATGTAATTACAATTACAGTATAACACGGATAGCTCGAATTCGTTGGGGCCGGCCTCGGAAGTTTGAGGGTTTTCTTACAAAGATAAGAAAGAAAAATGGGACCGCAGGCACAGTTCGACGGATGCGTGATTTCTAGTCTTCTTTTTTCAACCTATCCGTGTTATACTGTACATATATAGCTGTCAAGTCTGTCTTTTGCGGGCATGCCTCCTGTAGGTGATGATATATGGTACCACTTGTTCATTCCAATTCACACAACAGAAGTCATAACTTTAAGAGGTTGACCTGTATCTGCAGTGTTGTAGTTTAAGTTAGGCACTTCAATTGACACACAGAAAACCCGAGTTTGATTCCCATGCGGGAAAAATTTTTATCAAGTGTTGCTATCTTTCTGCTGTCACATTGCATCTCTCTCTGCCCGAATTGGTTTTGATAAGAAGCTTGAGCCCGCCTTTTAGGTGATCTAAATTGTGTTGATATGGCGTAAATAAAATAGGTGGTTTCGCATTCAATGAGGTTGCCGGGACCGGCTTGTTGTCCTCGTTGGATCCGACCTCTCGTTGAACGTGACTAAGGCTAAAGAAAAGAAAGGAGACAAGTTATTATATTACATGATGTACCAATACCAGTAATTAAAACTGTTGTTTCCCCTGATGACGATAATCTCAAACAGCATCAGTGTGCCCGTGTTTGAGCTGTGTTCTGACCGTCATTTCGGCATTAAAATTACTTTTTTTCGCGGAACACTTCTCGTGTGGAAACATACCCTCTCACACCTAGGCCTAGATCTACATAAAGTAAAGGCGGGAGTTTGGATTTTCTGATCAAGGGAAGAAAAGAAAATTGAAAAAAATGAAGGTTTCAATCTAGACCTACCCATCCAGAGTTCATCCAGTTTCACACAGCCCACATCGTGTTCCCACCCACCCCCTCTCATTCCTACTGTAGGCTAACCCTCGCCCATCCTGTTGGCTTTGGGGCCCATATTAGGAGGCACACTAGATCTAGCAATACAATGTGTTAGGAATCGAGAATGGGCCTTGTGCTTCGCGTGAAATGGAGAGAAAGGAGAAAAATTCTTCGCTTTTGGGGCCACTAATAGCTTTTATTTGGTTATTGCGACCTCGTTGAAAGCGACTTTGGTGTTTTTGCAACCTCATTGGAGCCGACGTACATTTACAAAGAGATATAGAGAAAAAAATCGGGGATTTAGGATTGCCTCGTTGGAGCCGACTTTTCGTTGAAGGTGACCTCGTTGAAAGCGGCAATCACTGTACCAACCTTTTAAAAAAAATGTTGAGTCAACAGTTTGATTCTCACTTTGCCTGTCTGTTTTATTGTTCCATTGCTTGTTTCTGTTTTTGTGGTATTCATAAGTTTTCATCATTGCCTATTGCCATAAAATACCAATTTGTAGAGAAGTGAACAGAGAAAAATGGGTTATGCTATATTTCTTAACCACAACATGGGTTATGCTATATTTCTTAACCACAACATCGGACTTGCAAAACCAGGAATCAAACTCACAGTCTTACACAATCAAATCCTATGCCATAATGACTACATGAGGATGCCCCAGTGCCATAATAAACTTCAAGCATTGACTCCTCGTGCTGTATTGTTGACATGCCAGATCCACCACTCGTGCTACAATTTTAAATGTTTAATGTTTTCAAATGCATAATATATAATATATATCCAGTGAGACTACACTCAGAAAAGTTCATATTGGTGAAAAACAAAACTTTATTTCTTGAAAATCATAAGTTGAGATCTACAGGTAAATATATGGTTTCAGAATCAAACATTCAGTATTCTTCATAAGAAAAATGTAACGGGCAAAACAATGAATTTCAAACAAATGGTTGTAAATGTATATATGTCTAATCAGTGTATAATATAAAATCCAGCAAAAGTAACACAGTAAGTTTATGTTGAAGATGTATACCCATGCAAAAATAAATCTGATCTTTTTTGTTCCACAGTGAAGTTTTAAATAGCATGAAGAAAAACATATACCGTATGAAAAGTAATAATAATATACACTGTAATATCACAAAGTATTTTTCAGCTTGTTCAAAGGTAATGCTATGTGGCTAGATGGCTGACATGAAGTACATGTATGTGTATTGAAACTGGTGTTATCCTCATCTGCACTGCGAAGTGAACATTAGCCCCAGAGTGAGGTCGTGCAAACTTGAGTTTTTCTCTATGGAGGCTTGTTGCAGGAGTCTTGTTTGTTGATTGAGGGTGGCCAGAGCTTAAAGGGTTTTACAGAATTTACTTTCCTGAATGAATTGCACACAAAACACAATGTCTACAACAAGCTTTTGGGTATTCTTGGTGAATGTAATTTGACCTCAAATCTGTATTATAAATATATGAAGTAATGCGATACAGACCTGCTGGCACAGAGAAACTGAAAGGTCTTACACTAACTTACAGCACTGTGTCTGTTTGTATCAAATTATTCTCCATATAACCTAGCATTGCTGACAGATGGTTATGTCACACCTAGAAACATTATGATTATAGGGTACATAGAACTCTAGAAACAGAATTTTGAGGGTCTTTTTTTTTAAATAGAAAAACTATGATACACTGATGTAAAATTTCTACCTGTTGGTAATATCTGCTCTGCACACTCCATGTACGGTAACATTAAAAAAATATTAAACAGTAAACACCTATCTAAGTCTTTATATCTTCATGTACCGGTATACACATTTACTGGAGTACATCTTTATGGCTGAATGAAGAAGATGTTAGAAAACAATTTTATGGCTGAAGTACATGAAGACATCAAGGCACTCTGAATGGATTTTTTAAAAAGACTGCTTGAGTAAGAGTGAGAACAAATGTTTGAGATGGGAATGGCAAAAGAGCAAAATGAAATCAACTTTTACGATCAGGGTGCATTATATATGATCCTATGTGCACACACCTTTATTATTGAATGAAGAAATAGTTTTATGAGAATTATCACATGTGTACGGACAGTCTTATGTTTGAAAATGATGATAAATGACCACATAGGTAAGATACTTTGATCTTTGAAAATGAGAAATAATCATATTGGAATGTACTTTTAGTTTTAGATGAAGATATTTTGAGGAGCAGGTCATGGGAAACACATTACATAACATTCAATATAAATAATATAAGTAAGCTGTAACCAGCAGAGAAAACAAAATGTGCCATAGTGTATCATAATGTTGGAAACTGGAAGGCAAATGGTACTTCACGTTTTTTAAAAAACCCATCCAATCCAGAGGTCCAGTGTTTGACAGTTTAGTTTATTGTTTATGTTTTAGTTTTAGATTCATTTGGAAATCTATTATTCTCAACTCTTGTAGAACTGTAGGAAGATCATTCCCTTTCATATCAAAGACTTGCTTTTAAGTTTAAGTGAGCCTTGATATTCAAATCAGATAAAAACTAGTGATAAAAAAAGAATGCAGTTCATAAGTAAATGATAGATCTAGTGGCAGTGTTGAGTAAACAAAAACTTGAGACTTATTTTCCCTTTTTAAACTTTTCTCTCAATTTCAAAAGACTCGTACTCACAGCAAAATGAAAATGTTTTAGCTTATGAAGACCAAGATATCATTCTTACCCTCAGTTTTTTCATCACAAGTTTTGATTGGATAGAAGTGTGATATTGTGTAGGGTCTATTCCCTTCAAACCATAGCAAAACACTTTTCAACGCACAGTGTAATGTATTAAATTTTTGCTGGGCGTTAAGTTTTGCAATGTACCATGTGTTGAACCATAGGGAATGAATTAATGATAATGTTCAAAATAGATGGAATGTACTTTAGGTAAAAAATGATAAATTATCACAATGTAGCATATCTTTCTGTTTGGAGCTAAAACAGCTAAAACCAGAGAAATCAAAACAGCTGAGAAATGAACATAACATTATTCTTGAAATACATGCATTTCTATCATTCTTCAAAAATATTATCTTCTGTAATGTTGAAATCAGCCTGGTAATTCAATTATCTGAATAATCTCTAAATTTTGTTCTAGTGCCCTTTCTCAGATTTAGGCTGTATTGCCCACTTCACACCATCACCAGGAGAGGTAATACGCACAGGTACAAGAATACACAACATAATATTCAAAGGATTTCCAAATACACTGTAAAAGTTGCTAAATACTGAACTTTGACGATAAACCATTATTTGCTTCCAAGCTTCATATGATGTCTGACCTCTCCAAATCACCAGTGTCTCCCAACCGAGGAAGAACAATCCAGCTCCAAAACAGAAGATGGTCAGGTACAAGTGTATGAGGATGAACACATTGGCAAATGATGTTGCTCCGGTGATCATCTGCCAGATGGCAACCACGGGAATGTAGAACACTGCTTCTTTCGTGAACAGGGGAAATTGCTGAAAAACATTTGATTCAGTATTTCAAAGTCAAAAGACAAACATATTTTCTTGTTCAAAAGTGATGCAAATTTTTTTTAAACAATCCTAATTCATCAGTTTTAATAATTTGAAAATATATCTGGCTTGAATTTGTTCATTTGACTTGGGTAAAAAGTGTGACAACATCGTCTTTATAGACCAAGAGAAGGCTTTTGACAGAGTAAACCATGCAAAACTCTGGAAGACACTCGAAAAGTATGGCGTCAAAGGACAATTGTTAGATAATGTCAGAGCTCTATATACCAACAGCAGAAGCTCAGTAAGAACGAAGGGAGGAAATACAGACTGGTTCAAAGTAAGATCTGGAGTACGACAGGGATGCGTTCTACCTCCCCTACTGTTTATAATATATATATAGACACAATAACGCAAGAAGCAAACCAAAGTCCATAAAGCCTAAATGAATTTCTCTTCGCAGACGACCAATGTCTAATTCATCATGACCAACAAAGCCTCCAAAATCACACTACCGAACTCAACAACACCTGTGAGAAATTCAACATGAAAATAAGCACATCAAAAACAGAAGTTATGAAAGTGAGCTGAAACCATAGTCCCCTGAACATCCATGTCAATAGTAAACAACTGAAACAGGTGAAAGAGTTTAAATACCTTGGCAGCAATTTTTCTGAAAACGGGTCCATAGACAGAGAAATAGAAATGCGAACTCAAAAAGCCAACACTGTCACCTACCAGCTCGCACCCCTTCTATCTCATCCAAACATCTCCATGGACACAAAGAGACAGCTTATCACCTCAATATGAAATGTCTCCGCAAAACCCTTAACATCCCAAGACGAGACAGGTAGAGAAATGAAGAAGTAAGAGCAGCTATCGGCACTGAGTCCTGCCTGCGTTACATAGAAAGACAGAGGATAAAATAGTTTGGCCACCTGTTACGCATGTCACCTGACCAGCCAGCCTTGAGAGCCTACAACACCAAGCACTCAGGCTATAAAGGAAGAGGAAGGCCACGCAAAAGGTGGATCGAGGGTGTCAAGGAAACCCTAAGAAAACATAACATCACAACTGAAAGAGCTGCGGAGCTGGCCTACCATAGAAAACTGCATCTCCCCTCTATGCTTAATGGCAACAGAGGATGAAAAAGTAAAAGTAAAGTAAAAAGTGTGACTATTGGACCGATATTGTAAATGAGAAAATGGTGAATTATTACTACAACTAGCCAATCCTGTGTCATAACTATCTTACATCAATGATGCATATTCCCTTTAATTAATCATTGAATAAACTCAAAGTTCTCTTTGGTTAAGGTTTCATAAACCTTTTAAAAATGTATAAAGTCTGTTTCCTCCTAAAACATACAGTAAGTTTGCTTTGCATGCCAAACACAAATAGTCTGTTTTTATTTTAAGTTAATAAATTGATCTGAGTTACTTTGAGTGTATGAGTTTGAGTTTCAATTCATCAACATTTTTTTGTGGGATAATTTTTCTTTCAACATTCAATTGTCAGACATATTTAATGTGTACAACATGCATAAGACGAGATACCAGTATCAAAGTTTTTATCTCTATTCATCATGAAGACTAAAGAAGATGCTCTGCTCCGATATACTTTTGGTCGGGTGGGTAAAAAATGGGTGGAGAAACAAGTTTTCTTTTCCTATGCTAATACAAAACTAAACAGGTGCTTGAACATGAAAGGGTGGGGGGTTGTATCATTGAAGATTACAGCCGGTCAGTTCTATATCACGAGTCAACCCTGACTTTACCTTAACTCAACCTCATCTTTACTTGTTATTAATAATGTTGCTCATTCACCACTGCCTATTGGCTAATCTCGCCCTCTCACAGAGCTGAGAGCATATTGTAATAATATCAGGCTCTTTGAAATACTGTCCCGCACTTACTGCAGTCAGATAAGATATCTGCATGAAAGCTGCCGATCCACTGGCAAGGACGATGTAGATGCAGAAAATGAAAAAATGTCGCTGATTATGGTAGCCAACACAAGAGCCAGTGAAGAAGCAGTGGTGATCTCTTTTCAGAATGCAGTGATTGCACAAGGTGCAGTGATGAGATCTTGGAGGCGCGTCCAACATGCAGGTGACACAGTTCTTCCATCCTGGAATGAGAAATGTAAAGATATTATATTGTAAACATACAAATTCACTAAACTATCTACTTGTACGGCTTGTAAGATATGTGGTCCTCCTAGACAAAAAAATTAGGTTATTATGAGCATCAAACTAAAAGTAGAAGACGTGGTCCTGTCGTAAAGAAGGAACTATATATTCAGATACTTTTTTCTCCAGTATATATGAAGGTCACTATAATTTCTAAATTTTGAGGACATATCAATAAATTATTTAGTGTTGGTACTGCCCAACATATAACAAAAATACAGTAGCCTACAACATCCATTTGGTTAACATACGTCCTGGGCAGAACTGATTCACATTTTGTTTTTCTGGCCCTGAAAACTGAATAGGCTATAATGCCTTGCACATAAACTATGACCTATAATGAGCTTTACCACTACTTAACTCCGGTTATGTTTTTCACTATACTGTAAAGGGATCATTCAGAGTGTCTCCCATCAGAAAAGTGACAGTTCATCCTAAAGACTTAAAAACTTAATCTTATGAACTGGTCAAACGAATAAAGCAAATAAATATTCTACAACAACATTATTAAACTCCCCAAACAAAAGGAAGAGTTATAATTACATATTTAATGTATTTTGATTGTAGGCCTACTTCAATTTCAAGAGTGATTATTGCATATTGTGATAGTTATGACTATGACCTTTTCGTTTCAGGCATGGACAGAGGAGTTTTATTATTGTCTTTGACTTTAGTCCATTTTTAAAAAGAGGAAAAATATTTATCTACCTGGTGGGGTATTTGCATGCCCAGGAAAATGCAAGTCCTTCGTCTCTTTGGTGACTCTGTTCAAGACATCATAGTACGTCAACCACCAATTTCCAACTGCCTCTAGGAAGAGCCAGATCACAATGCATTCCGCAATGTAGAAGAAGCTTGTGTATTGACCTGTGCTACGATCCACATAATACGAAGGTATTAAAACTGTGAGCCCTTCAATAGCAAGGGTCACCATCATCCCAACAGAAAATGAAACTCCAACAGTAGAAGCTGATTGCTTTTTAGCTTGAAAATCACGCTTGGCATAATGCTCAGCTAGTTTTTCTTTCAGTGTTACTTCTTCACGTCCAAGTTGTTGTCGACGCTGCATGGTTTTTGTTTTTATCTTTCAGTTCGATACGGTAATTGTGTCAACAGAAAAGCACAATTCCTAAAGAAATGGAAGCTGTGTTGTCCTCTGACGCAGTAACTTCACTTTGCTGGGTTTCCTCTTTATAAATTACAGCTACGCACAGCTGAAGGGACAAAGGGAGTGTAACATAATACGATAGCACAGGGTCAGCCAACAACGCACACCCGAGCACAGCAGACCACGTGCGAGGGGAGATTACTCAGTTGCTCAGTTGTTGGCGTTTCCATGGCTCTGAAAAAATGTAAACAAACGCAGGGAGTAAACTCTGTAACACGATCACGATTATCGTTCACTACTGGGGGGGGGGCTATTGTCATTCTTCCCCTTACGGATGAACATTTTTTTTCTCTTGAAGTGGGAAAGAGGCAAAAATTGGTGAAAAGGGATAATGAATGAATTAATGACTCGGGCTCACTGAAAACTGGGTTTTGTAAAACGGTCTATGTAATTGCAACACAATAGGCTACGGTCGAGTAACCCCAGCCATACGTGAGGTTGAGAGCATACTTCACGAGTTCAAGGGTCACCTGACGCCTGACTGACTGCATGGCAATGTGTACGTGTTTCGTCCTGTGGCATAATCTGTCTCGCTTGCCCGTACTTGCCACTAATTGCCAACTGTTCTACAATACACACTACCTCTGTCAGTCCAAAATCCCTGAACTGAACGAAAGTCTATATAATATTATAATGTATATATATATATATATATATATATATATATATATATATATATATATATATATATATATATATATATATATATATATAGATCTATATGGAATTGAATTTTTCTTTTTCTTTTCAATTGTATTATGTAGATCTATTGCCTAGATCTATTGTTCATCAGGATGGAACCAGAGGTCTGTTATAGAACTAGGCTACTTTTTAATCTAACCCGTTCAGTCTGTTAAACACATCATCTTAATCATCATCATCATCATCATCATCATCATCATCATCATCATTGTTTGGAAAGCAGAGTAGGAGGGGGAGTCTTGTATGAATTTCAGACAAAATAACGTAACGATATAAATGTTTAAAATTTGTTTAATGGCTCAACGTTTCGCCTCTTGGGCTTCCTCATGAGCAACCGAGACCGAGAGAACAACTAAATGAACGCTGTATACTAGCAGGGAAACCTAACGAAGAGGGTCTTAAGATTACGTCATCATCATCATCATCATCATCAGAGAAGGAATTAGATCTATTATTCTAAGGTTATTCTTGACCTGACCGTCCATCTTTGTGGCCATTTCCGAATATCATCAGTCCAATATACACACACACATGCACACTCTCGAACACGCAAACGTACACACACACACACACACACACACACACACACACACACACACACACACACACACACACAAACAAACACTCACATACATACGCATGTGCACGCACGCACACTCACACACACACAAACACTCACATACACATGCACGTGCACGCACGCACACTCTCTCTGTCTCTCTCTCTCTCTCTCTCACACACACACACACACACACACACACAAACACGTAGGCTTACGCTCTCTCACACACACATTCACACAGAACAAGTAAGGGGAACAGGAAGAGAGAGAGAGAGAGAGAGAGAGAGAGAGAGAGAGAGAGAGAGAGAGAGAGAGAGAGAGAGAGAGAGAGAGAGAGAGAGAGAGAGAGAGAGAGACAGACAGAGAGACAGACAGACAGACAGACAGACAGACAGACAGACAGACAGACAGACAGACAGACAGACAGACAGAGAGAGAGAGAGAGAGAGAGAGATCGGTGAAGCTAGACAGACAGACAGACGGTGCTTCCAAATAATCCAAGCATCACATGTAAAGCATTAATTATAGTTGATCTAGATCTACCCTTTATGGGTGAGTGGTGATCGAGTTCATTAGAATCTTAAACTTAAGATAAACAAACAACACACTGCAACAAGAACAATTCACCTGTATAATGTCAGTTGAAGAATTTATTATTCTACATTGCTTACAAGACCACGGGTTACATTGTTCGATAATATATAAATTTCTCTTTCACTCCATCTGTCTGTCGGTCTGTCTGTTCCTTTTTCTGTAGGCCTACTCATTCTCACAGTACAAAAACGCCAAGCACACCAATCAAAATCTGTTTTCCATTCTCGCTATTTTGAGTCGTTCTCACTTTCGTGCCGTCATCTTACATCACCTATAACCTCCCTTATAAACACGACATGTTTCGCGCATCATGAAAGACGAAAGAATGAATCAGGATCTTCGCCAGTCCCTCGTAGTTTTGAATCGACATCCATTCTGCACTCGTCAACTTGTCAACTTCGCTGTATGAAATAGAAGAAGGGTTGGGGTGGGGAAGAAAAATAATAGGCTATATTAATTTTAAAGAAGTACAATTAGATCTAGAATCTAGATCTAACTGAAATGTGTGAAAATGCAGGACTACATTATAACTATAACCTAGATGTTACACATCATGCTGGTTTAGCTATCTTTTTTTTCTTTTTCTTTCGGTCCATAACCCTGATAATAAAAGTTGTGTTGAAAAGGGCAATTCATGGGCCTATATACTATATGTACTAATGACTAAAAGTTTTTCTTTGTACGTCCTGCCAGGACTTTGGCAGCACGTGTTCAGTAATCCAGACTTAATATTGTGATAATACAACGGGAAACAACAGTAAATGTGTATCATACAATCCTCTAAATAAGTCAAAAGAAAGGGTTATACACGTAGATCTATAGCCTAGTAATATTATTTTTAAATATGTTTTTCTTTTTTTTTCGGGGGGGG